GGCACCACCCTCAAGCAGAAGGCGTATGGAACTTTGGCGTCGTCTGACGTAGAGGCGGAGACGATCGAGCAGTTAGTGAGCCTTCCATGGAAAGCAGTAGTATTGAGGTATTTCGAAGAAGAAATGAGGACTACGCCAAGAATACATGCTCTCGTGGCAGTACCTTACGTAAGGACAGAATTACAACTCAGGCTCGCCTGGTGCATGATGGGACTGACTCGCGAAGAATATGATTCGGAAGAAAGGAAGAGATCAAAGGAGGAAAAAGTTTTCCTTATGACGAATCTGAGGGATCTGATAGTCCAGGAGGGAGCAGCAGTAGCGTGTGCAAAGCGGAGAGACGCTCTCTGTTTCATTCGATTCCTGATAGAGCAGATCTCAGTACCTGCATTAAGCACTTGTGTTAAAATGTTGAAGGAAGGCGATGAGCGAACGAAAGCCATGTTCTTACTAGCAATGCTGGATATGCAGCAAAGTAAACCGATGAGGGTGAACATGAAAGAACCTGAAGAATTGGAACCCATGAAAAAGATAGACGAGATCAGGAGATTCTCAAACAAGGAGTTGAGGCTCACTAAAGAATCTATGGGAGCATTGCCGAAATCCAGTGAATACTGTGGACCGATCAAGAAGAAGTCATATAGCTATGTATCCGGGATCATAGGGATAGCGTACAATCCTTTCCTGAGTGAAGACATACGTGATTGCTTCTTTGATTATGAGCAGGCGGTGTTACTAAGATTCTGGACGTCCAGAATTGTGACGACTAAGAGCGTTAACAATCCACAGGCCAAATTGGGATTGGTCTTGGAAGAAGAGGTGACTGCACCTTCAGTACCAAAATCCGACAAGAGAGTGGAATTTGGGTTGGGATTCTCAGATGAATTACTGAGAACGAGCTTGATGGCAGTGTGGGAATTGATGAAGCCATCGTGGTGTCCTAGTCCCAACGCTGACTCAATATTACGGGCGACACAGGACATACAGAGGGAACTGAATGCGGACTGTAACCTGCGTGACCTCAACATCATATATAATGTGATGATAACAGCCTCTAAGAGCAACGGAGAAGATAGAGTGGAGTTGCCTGGCTGGGGACCAGAAGACTGGGTCAAACCTGGTAGCTGTCTGGCGGAAGTCTGTGGATTAGAGGGTCACGTTTGTGGAAGTCTAGACTGTGTGAAAACCCTGGAGAAACAACACAAGCAGTTGACGGTATTGTTTGGAAATGTAGTGATGAAAGCAAGAACGGAAACGGAACTGATAGCAGATTGCCATGGAGGAACCGATGTGAATCTAGTGACAGCACTAGAATTCTACAGCATGTTTGGTTCTTTAGAGTCACTATTGAATCTAGAACAGAAACATGAGATGGTCACAGCCATCAGCGTAGAAGTATTCCCAGGAGTTCTGCAGACTGAGCAGAAGTATATAGAAAAATGGAGGGAAGCAATCGAAACGGAGATGAACATCAGACACAGCGAAACTTATTGTAGACCATCAGGAGCACGATATTTGGTGGGTTCAACGTTGGCTCCAATGTGCAAGAGCAGATACCCTGTACATTTCGTGGCTGTGGACGTGAAGAGTACAAGAACGATCGTGGATCAAGCTTTCTCAGTGCCAAAGTGCGTGAGATTGGCGAGAATGTCTGAAAAGTCTTACGAGTTACTATGTAAGATGTTCTCAGCAGTTCCAGAGATAACCAGAGAGGAGTTGGAGTCAATACTAGGAAAGAAGTTCATGGGATATGTGAGCGGGAACCTCAGTGACTTTGAAAAACAGAAACAGAGAGGATCAACTGTCACAGATTACAATGCAGTAGATGAGAATGATGAAATCCACCGAGTGATGATGGAAGTGGAACCATTGCTGGAAGCTTCAGGAAAACGCAATTGGAGGAGCATCATGTTGACACATGACGAGTTTCCTTGCCACTGCTTGCTGCAGACCTGGTGGTATCCCAAGCGTAGTAATTTGGTGTTGATCTGGGACTCTGGAGAGCTGCTCTCCATGGGTTTACCAGATTCATCACAGCCCATAACAATAGTGATAGTGGGAGTTATGATGGCGATACGATGGCTGGAAGCTCATGTGAGAGAAAATAATAGACAGGAGGCACCGACGAGAGAACAATTGCAGAAATTAGATTGTCTAAAAGATTTAGATCTTTTTGAGACAATGTGCAAAGTTCTAAACATTCCGATGGAAGTGAAGAAGATATGGGCAAGAAAACGATTGATGCCATGGTTCAGAGCTAACATGACTGCATGGTTGTACGAGTATGCGAAAAAGCATATGTCGAAACATGGCAGATTGTACAGTGAATATCAGCTGGACATTGGGGCAGGAGCTTTCAAGCGAGCTTTCGTGACCCATCGGAATGCAGTGACCACCGCTGTGAAAAGAATTTCCAGGACGAGCGAGCGTAGTGGAAATGAGAAGGCAGAGATGCTGAAAGAAGATTTGGAGAGAAACGTGACGTTGTGTCTCCACAACAGCTTCTGTAGAAACAGAGAATCAAACGTGGATCCCCTACCTTGCTGTAAACAGAGGGTGGAAGAGCAGAAGTGTTGGAGGACGGCTTCCAACAGCGTCAGGATAGTCAATGACGTGCTACAAGACACGGAAACCGAGAGTGCGGAGTCAGTGTCACAGGAGGAAGAAATGGAGCATTGACGAATGGTCGAGAAAACAAGAGGCAGCAAGAAAGAAAATTAGAAGAATTTAGAAGTTTTAGAACTTCTAAACGACGAAAAAAGAAGAGAACAAAGGGATGATGAGGAAAAGTTAAAACTCAGAATTGTTTATGTGTGTGAAAAACTCAAGTGAGAAACCAAGCAACCAAGTTGTAATTGAAAACTGAAACATTTAGTTGAGTTTTGAAATTGTTGCATTTATAAATTTGCATTTTGGTTTTAGTTGAAATGGCTTTAGAGACACTCACTTATTATTTATTTAGAAAGGCTTGAAGGAAGAGTATATTTAAATATTCCAGCCTGCATGATTGTTTTTAATCACTTAGGAAGACTGATCACTTTGTGGTGATGTGGAAGGCTTGAGTAATCTCTCGAAGAGGGAGATTGTTTCATTGTTCTTTCTAACCACAAAGTTTCTTAGTTTTAATATTCAGGACAATAAACCAGCAAGATTTCCGAAGGGAAGTAGCATAGTAGGACAATTTTAGCTTGTTGGTTGGCAGGACTGTCCTGCAAGCCAACACCTTTTAAATCTAGGAGAAAAAGTTTCAATCGGGACATTGACACTGGAAGTCAGAAAATATGTCTTATCTTAAGTCATATCCTTAATGTGCAGATTAATGAAAGAATTTGAAGGCTATAGTGATGTAGTATGATGCCATTTATATTCTGCAGTGAGTCGATGTGACGTAGATAAAAGTAATTTCGTGCATTTTGTAAATTCTGTTCGATGACACTGTAACCATTTAGAACATTGCGCGATTCAATGAGGACATTGACCGGACTGTCCGGGGAGTATGTGACATTCGACCAGAATGGCCAAAATGCAATTTATGCAGGATTCGAATTTTGAGCAGTAAGCCTTCCGAGTTGATGATTTCGAAGGATTAGCGACGTTATTGGAACGTTTAGCCAAACGGTGAGGGCTAGAATATTCTAGTATTTTAAATTTTCAAAAATTCGAATGATGACGTCACATTTCTGAGAAATGCTGAAACGGCCATTTTAACAAAAAGCGAGTGAAAAACAGAACAAACTTTTATCTGCGATTGCGAACAGTACGAAAATCGAGATTGGAGAACGACAACAAACTACAGAATAGCAGAGAACGTTCCGAGTTGCAACTATTGTGCTGCTACAATAGTTGCAAGGCCGTTGCCAACAACGGTGAAGGGTGAGAACCAGCCTTCCGGATTAGCGAGAAATCAAGAGTAAGGAGCTTGATTCAGCGGATTCAAGAATCCGGAAGGGTCTCGGGACGGAAACTTTTATTAACTCATATAAACTTTTAGCATCCGGTCATGTCCTGACTTGAATTTAACTGATATTTTGATTAGTTTTGACAAGGATGAGGTGCTAGGAGTTGGGGGAAAGGGTTGATCCATCTTCGATGGAGATGATGATTTTTATCTACTGAACAAAAACAATAGTAATATAATAAGCAGTAGCCCTGTTTTTAGGAGTGACCTCGTGGTCTGGGGATACAGAGACCCAGCCATGAGCTCACTATTTTTGCATGTAATTCAGTTAATTTGAGCGTTCTGGTCGAAGCCGGAGAGCAGCAACGTTTTTGTCGACCCGATATAAGAAAGACCACCGAAAAGTACTGGCTTGGTAGAGACGGTGAAAAACATGCAAAGCTCTGTTTAGACGCTAGCCAGTCGTCTTAAGACTTAGTTTTGTTATCCGTCGATATGTATCTTCCGGGCGAATGTTACAAATCTTTTGAATGTTTTTTCGTTTTTCTAGTCATTTTTCTACAAAAACTGTTTTCCAATTGACCATATTTTACTATGACTCTCAAATATGCCTAAGTTCTATTTTTTCGTTCAGTTATTTTTATCACAACATGCAGGAAAAAAGCGACACCCCTAGGAAACAAAAAACTTTTTTTTGTATTTTTTTAAGACTGGTCGAAACATTCTGTGCTACTTGCATAGTAGTCGGCTATCCTTGTTTTTTTACCAAAGCGTTTTTTTTGCGGCTCAAAGGTGTCTGATTTAAAATTTTCGGCTTCAAAAACACTTCGTTTTGTGGAATTGTAATTGTCAATTTTCCTATACAGACAATGATATGGAAAATTTGGTTGATCTAGCTTTTCTCATTTTTTTTTTCGTTTTTGGGGCTTTCGTTTCAAGTTCGGTCTGCCAGTTTCGATCTGCTAGTTTTTCCTGCTATCTTTGTGTTGCATCGCAAGTGGTGCAAAGCTCTGCTTCGCACCTATGTTCAATTTCTTTTCAAAAGATGTGCGAAAATTGGAGAAAAAATTGGAAAGCGACCGAGTTTTTAAGAGTCAAAGTTAATTGACAAAATTTCTTCAATTATTCAGAATTACATGGGAGAAAAAGGGGAAATCACTTTCAGAAGTTTGGGTTTGAGTGTTGAGACCCAAAAGGCGCTTCGAAGCAGTGGTTTTCGCAAACCCACTGTTATACAACAGAAAGCGTTGCCACCTGCTCTGCAAGGAAGAGATGTTTTGGGGGCAGCTCAGACAGGTAGCGGGAAAACTCTGGCCTTTATCATCCCGCTACTTGAACTGCTTCGAAAAGAGCAATTCCTGCCTTCACATGGATTGGGTAACTTATTTTGTTGCTATGATCTTTTTCTGGTGTTACGAAGTTGATTTTGAGACTTCATCTATATCCCTTTTTACACTAGCTTCAGCTTAGTGTATTGTCACGAACCTTCTTTTTTCGAATTAACTCGTAAATATAAGTGTTCTTCAAAAGTGTACACTTATTTGGAAATTTCTCTGTAGCATTGGAAAATGCATAGCATCTGGTTTCTGCTTTATTTGTGACTGGTGTTTGGCTATTAACTATTAAGCTGTCGCGGCTGAGTGGTTAGGATTTGAGACTCTTAATCTCTAGGTCGCAGTTTCGAATCTCCGACACAGCCGAATTTTTTTGCTAATTCGAGGCTTATTTCTACTTTTTCTTATTGCACTTAAGAGCTTCTTTTTTGTCGTGTTCTAGCTAGTGTTTGTGAAGCAAAGCTTCGCCTCTGAATTAATATCTAGCATATGACACGTGAAAAATATAAATGGTGTAAAAATTGTTCATATAGTTTTTTCATATAGTTCTGTATCGAAAACAAGAACAATAAATAACAAAATGTTTCTAGCAAATCCCCGATAAATTGGAAACTACTTGCCTGAACTCGGAACAAGCAACAATTTCTGCTACAAAAAAATTTGAGAGGTAAATTGGTGAAAGCTTGGAAGAAAACACATTTTATTTACGGTACAAATTAGCCGCAACATCAATACAGCCAAACTCAGAAATTGTTGCGTTTTACACCGATTTTCCGAAAGCGTTCGACGAAGTACCTCACCTCGAACTGGTGAAAAAACTTGCAGAAATAGGAGTAGGAGGCTGTCTGCTTGAAGTCATAATAGATTACCTGAACAACAGAAAACAATTCGTCAGAGTGGACAATACGATCTCAAGTGTTCTAGATGTTACCAGCGGGGTACCTCAAGGGTCACTCTTGGATCCATTTTGTTTTGTATATTCATTAACGAATTGCCTGATGTCCTGAAATTCTTTGACCCTTTCATCTTCGCAGATGATCTCAAAATTTTAGCTGTTCGGAAAACTTCTGGGAAGTACAGGATGACCTAGATCAAATTGAAATTTAGGTCAAAGAGAATATGATGGAGTTAGCAATGGACAAGTGTGCCAAAATAACGTTCAGAGGACAGGACAGAAGTAAGTTACAAGCTGATGGATGCAAAATTGAATGAATCTAAAACCGTAAAAGACCTCGACGTCTATGTAGCAGAAGATCTAACATGGAAAGCGCACATTGATGAAAGACTGAAGAAAGCGAACAAAGTACTTTGCATGATCAGAAGGAATGTAGCTGTGAACGTACAAACTTTCATAAAGCGTGGTCTGTACAAATCGCTCGTTCTGCCAATCCTGTTATATGGATTCTCGTGTGTATCTGCCTCCCGAGCAGAACTCCAGTCTCTTGAACGTTTTCAAACAAAGGTTGCCAGATGGATAACAGGTATCAAGGGATCGTGCTATGGAAATCAGTTACGACTTCTGAGTATTCTGCCACTTCCAATGTTGATTCAAATGAGTGATATTTTGTTCCTCGCAAAGGTTATGACCGAAGATGACGAGATTATTAGTTTACCTGAGCGTCAGGACCCCCCAAAGAAGAATCACGGAAGTGTTTAAACCTTTTAAGACGAGGACTGAAAAGGTCAGAGGTGAATTTGTCTTCAGAACTTGCAGGCTTGTTAATCGAATCGAGAAATACAGCGACATCAGTAAACCTATCGGATTAAAAAGTCTATTGATCAAATTCATGTGAAAATTTGCTGACAACTGGGACCATGCGCCCTTCAGCTAGCTGTAAATCCTCAACAACAACAACAGCAAAGTGTATAAATTTATTAGTTCAAATTACAGACTGGTTATGTAAAGTTTATTAAACAAACCGGCAGATATGTGGGATTGTTTAAACCTGATAAACGCTACCACCCATTATACGATCTTTGTATCAAAACTCAACGAAATTGTTTTAACATAACTGAAGAAAAACCGAGTAAAGCTAGAAAATTTCAATTCTATCTGGCGAAGTTTCAGAAAATCGCTAGTCGGAGGCACCCTTGAACGGTTTAAAAGAAAATATGAACTCGTTCACAGCAGTTACTATCTCATTAAGCTGTGCGCCATGCTTTCAAGACCCCTTACATCCGTAGAACTGATAAATTGGAAGCTAAATGGCCAGCACTCACCCAACAGAGCCCATACAGCAGTAACCAGTGAGCAAATATGAAAAAATCAAATCAGACAGGTGCATCAAATGTAGTATTACTTTAAGCTATCTGTAAGTGTTTTGGAGAAATCTGTCAACAAAACAAAATTGATCAGCTCTTCTTTGCTTGAAATATTGTCAGAATCTTTTCGAACCAAGAGGCTTTGCCAAAGCAAGTTAAACAGCTCAGATCTTTTCTCGAAAACTAACCTCCCATATCTGAGGTTGTGGGTACAATAGAGATAAAGGATAATGAAAAGCTCGCCCGCATTATCGGTCACTCACAATTTTTCTACTCGGAAAAGTCAATTTTTTTTAATTTTTTGATCTTTTTTAAATCTTTTTGAATTTACCGAAAATTACCTCCCATATCTGAGACTTTGGGTTCAATCCAGAAAACGGGTTTTGGGAAATTCCCTTGCTTTGACACAAAAACAATGGCACTCGGAACGGGCGAAATTTGGATTTTTGGCCGTTTTTGAAACTTTTTGACGTTTCTCGATTACTACCCTGCCAAACCTGGGTGTTTGGATTCAATCGAAATTATTGGTTGAGTGAATCCTTTCTGCATCAGCGGCTAAACCCAGTTTTTTTCTAAACAAAAAGCTATGAATCTCGGAAATGTCATCTTCTGATTTGTTGACCATTTTTTGGACTCGATAACTACCCTGCCAAATCTCATATAATAGGTATAATCGATCCAACAGGTTCTTGGAAGCTTACCTTTCTAATTTGCTGCGCACAGTTTTTTCAAAAAAAAAAGTTATGGTTTTCAAACATGTGAATTGTCAGTTTCTGATTTCTTGACCACTTTTTGGACTTTTCTCGATAACTATTCTGCCAACTCTGATATCAAAGGTTTAATCGACCCAACAGGCTGTTTGAAGCTTACCTTTATAGTTTGCTAAGCAGTGCTTTTTCAGAAAAAAAGTTATGACTTTCAAACAAGTGAGAGTTTTGAAACTTTTACCGTTTTTGAGGTTTTTTACTCTTGAAGTTTTTTTTTACTCTGCTCGAAAATTACCGTGCCATTTCTCAGGTTCCGTTTTCAATCGCGAATCCCGATTTTGGGAATCTTCTCTTTTTTTACCGACCACGACCTGCTTTTAGCAGAAATAAAATGCGGATTTCGTTAAGTCACGTTTTCATAAACAAATCTGAGATGAAAATTTCAATCGAAGGAAGTGGTTGCACGAATTTTTCCTAAAGAAGCGGTTACTCCTCAATTTTTTGTCTCTGGGACAGTTACAAATTTTCACGCTTCTCGCTTATTTTATTAGAGAAACAACTAAGTTTTTGGACTAAGTCCAAATTTTGAAATTACTAATTTCGCCCCGAATCAGTATAGCAAGTTCAAAAAACATCAAACACGTACCCACAGCTTTAGCTGGGTCTTAGGTGTCCTTCATCGAGTCATACAAAAATTTTGGTTCTTCTAGTTTTTTTTCAAAATTTATCTTTTTTTCGACTTCTGTTTTTACCATTGCGATAGTGTATGATTGTGCTGTATCTCAAGTGGTCAGAACTAAGTTTAAAATCAGAACTAAAAGGTTTACTATTTGGTTTTTGATATCAATCGGTCGGATCTCATAATGATTTTCGTCAAAAATGCTGGACTAAAGGATGATTTTGGTCTGAACAAAAACACCCCAAGATATGAATTCTGTCACTTTTTCCGTAAGTCAAAAAAAAACAAGAAACAAATATGCAGTTAGTCGAGTAGATTAATGCGAAACAATCTAATGCTATGGAAATAACCGGTGCCGTAGTGTAGCCCACTTAAAAGAATGGGAATTCACCGAAGTAAAGTCAGTAAAAGATGTAGTATGTTCACTAGCTTCAGATGACAACCACGAATCATTTTAAACCAAAATTACATTGAATAATGATATATCTTAACCTCCAAGATTGTAAGAACCAACTTTAGGGTTTAAGTAACAACCAATAAATGATTAAAACAACCATTAGCACTCGCATCTTCCCGTAGGAGTAAATCATCCTAGTCTTCCTAATCTTGTCTTTCCGATGGTGTCCCACTCTTTAACCCTACGATATTTAACCCCCTATATTTACACCCCCTATATTATAACCCCGTAAAATGATAACCCCACAACAATTTAACCCCCTTTTAATGACGATAATTTGTTTCAAATTAAGTCCTTTTTATAAGTACAGGAGTAGTCCAATTAAGTTTACTAATTGAGGCCTGAAAAGCTAGTCTTAATTCACTTGATGCCTCTAGCATCTCAAAAATAATTGCATTTCGATTAGTTAGAGAAATAATCCCTCACTCACGCGTCCAAAACAGAGATAACTTACATGGTGCTAATTGAAGGCAACAAAAGACGTTTGTGAGTTTTATAAAAAATCATATTACCTATTTCTTTAACCATTGTTATACCACTCTATCAGATTAGATATAATGTTTGAAGCGTCATTCCATTTAACTTTATCTTCAAAAGACAAACAAATGCTAGTGGTATCAGGCCAAGAGTATAGCCTTAAACGGAAAAACAAGACAACAACAAATTGGAACTGCTCAAAGTACCAAACCCATAAATGCCGCGCAACAGCAATTACGGATGGAGAAAACTTTTTTGAAACGAGGGGTCAACATACTCACAATATTTCCACGGGCAAACCTGATGCTCGACTAGTTTTGAAAACCATCAAGGATCTAAGCGATAGTAACACCCCAACCGTCGCAGTCGCAACCGCCATTCAGCCCATTACAGACGACATTGCCACTCAACTAGCCCTATCATCCAAAGAAAATTTAGTTCGCACAGCACGAGCGCGAAAGCAACGAGAAGAAGTCTTGACAGTCTCCCAAGCAACCAGAAGTTTTGAAATACCCGAACTTTTCAAAAGTTTTATAAAATTTGACCGTGGGCAAAATGATCACGAGAGGATTATTTTATTCGGCGACCTTGAAATGCTACGTGTGCTTGAAACATCCAACTTTTCGTTGGCTGATGGAACTTTCAAACTCACCCCGAAAATGTTTTATCAACTTATTAAATTCATATATTGTCATTTGAGTGACTGATTGGGTAGTTCTCACTTGAGCGTAGCCCAATTGAGCGTAGCTGGGTTTTTGTGATAAAATGAGTATTGAGGGAAAAGGGCAGTATATTTAAGAGGTATCAAAACTGACGTTCAAAACTTACGCGAATTAAGTAGCGCTATTTTGTCTGGCTTTAAATGGCAAAAATTTCTCTCGTTTAATTCTTTGATGGTTACCGAAATCCCCTTTGAAGTAAGTTTTATTTTCATTTTGGATTAAAACGGTGTTAAGTCATAGAAATTGTTTTAAAATGTAGCGATGTTATATTGCTAAGGCAACAAAAAGTAGGGAGTTAAATTGTAGGGTGTTATGTTGTTTAGAGTTAAAAAGGGGGAAACGAATTTTACTAACCCCTCGCCCTCACGGCTTTGAAACTGAAACCACTTCACCTTCTTTTCAAAAACCAGAATCACTAACAGAATCTCAAAAATGTCTTTAGGAGCCTTAGTTCTCACTCCTACCCGAGAATTGGCATACCAAATCTTCGAAGTTCTCAGAAATGTGGGATGCAATCACAAGTTCTCGGCTGCATTGGTCATTGGAGGCAAGGACTTGAAATTCGAGACTGAACGAATGGGCGAAATGAACATTTTAATTTGCACTCCGGGTCGATTGCTACACCATATGGACGAAAATGTGCACCTCGACTGTTCAAATTTACGAATGTTAATCATTGACGAGGCGGACAAAATTCTGGAGATGGGCTTTAAAGACGCCGTAGACGGAATAATCGCCAACCTCCCACCTGACAGACAAACGCTTCTTTTCTCTGCGACACAGACACGCAAAGTGGAAGACCTCAGCAGACTAGCACTGAAAGATCCAGAGTATATTTCGGCACATGAGAGTCTTCCCAATGCTACTCCGGACAGACTCACTGAACAGATTTACTCTGTAGTCGAGATAGGCGATAAATTAGATGTGTTGCATTCCTTTATTCGCAATCACCTCAAGTGCAAGATTTTAGTGTTTTTGTCCACTTGCAAACAAGTTAAATTTGTTCACGAGAGTTTCACAAAGATGCAATGTGGCGTGCCGTTGCTATGTTTACACGGAGGCAAGCATCAGTTGAAGCGAATGGAAGTGTACGACAAGTTTTGCTCGAAGGAGTTTGTAGTCTTATTCGCTACAGACATCGCCTCCCGCGGTCTCGATTTCCCGGAAGTAGACTGGGTGGTGCAAGTGGATTGCCCAGAAGACGTTAAAACATACATACACAGGGTTGGGAGAACAGGGCGCTTTGGGGCCGAGAAAAGTGGGAGAGCATTTTTAATGCTGCATCCCCATGAACAACTGCCATTCGTAAATCAACTGAAGGAGGCCAAAGTCCCGATCATCCAATCGGATCTCGATCAGAATATGATTCACAGAAAGACGAGGACGGAGCACAAATTAAGGTCTTTTAACGCGGAGTGTGTGGAATTACACGAAACTGCCAAGCGAGCATTCGTTGTTTACTGCAAATTTGTCTACCTATGCAAGAATAAAGATGTATTTGATATCCAGAAATTGGATTTAGAAGGTTTCGCTAGATCACTGGGCTTAATCACAGTACCGCGACTAAGGTTCCTCCAGAATTTAAACATAAACGTTAATGGCACCGGAAGAAGTTTAATTGGTAACGAACAAAGTCACGAAAAACTTGAAGATAACGAGGTAAGTTTACAGGCAGCGTTGAAGTCTATCGACGATATTGACGATCCCTTAATCAAAAAAGAAAATAAGACAAAACCATCAAGAACTGTTTTTGAAGACGAAGATCTCGAGAGTTTGAATTTTGATGAAAAATCAGCGAAAACAAAGCCCTTAACTGCAGCCAAGAAAGCTAAGATTTTGAAAAGGAAAAACATTAAAGTCCACCAGCATATCAAGTATGAAAGCGATGATGATGAGCAAGTAAGCGCTGATACTGGGCTGGGAGAAGCAGAGTCTAACTTAGAAACATCTGAAGGAATTAACATCGATGCTTTAAGAGAAAAAATGAAAAGTAGAAACACTTCGGATAAACTGAAAAAACGACAAATCGTGAAGGAAAAGATTCGCGAAAAAGAACAGAAGGAAAAAGGAGAGGAAGATGGAAAAGAGCTTGGCGTGAATCAGTTCAGGTTCGATTTCAGAAAGAATAGTGAAAGTAGCGACCAGGAAGACAAAGATGAAGAGAGTAGTGTATCTACCAAAAAGCGGAAAATAGCCGCTAAAAGTGAGCCCAAATCGGATCTGTTCGATTACGAGTCTTTAGCAAAGCAGGAAAATCTTCTTTTGCAACTCATGGACAATTAATTTTGGTGGATTTCAATGTTAAAATAAAAATGTTCAATCAAAAACTTCTCTTCCTTGGAAAAAAGTGATATGTAATTGGTAGAAGCCCGATTGGCGTTCGTTTAGATCTGACTTGGATCTTTGTAATGCGTAGCATTGTTTAAGCTCTTAGAACTGAGTAGATATGGTCATTATTCTTTAGCATTTTTTGTTTTTTTCTTTGGGTCGGCAGGGGGTCGAATCCCTGAGGGGGGCGGACGCCGCTCCCCCCCTTAATCCGCTGGTGGTGTGTCTCAATTTTTGTTCATGACCAAAGAAATAGGTCATGAATTAGAGGGTCAGGTAATTAAAATAATGTATCCACGATGACAATGATTAACTAAAAAACGGACACGTTTCAATAATGGATTGCATAAAACCCTACTGAAGTGCGTGGAACTATTTAGTATAAAAGAAACAAATTAACCTTGGGCAAGTTTGAGTATTGTGGTGATATTCAAAAAAGGGAAGTGAATGACACCTATAGAGTAGTGGCGATAGCAGTGAGCAGCATTAGATTGACATATTTAGCTCTTATCGAATATTTTCTAGTCTGTTTGGTAAGATAGCTTAGTCAATAACTAAGCTTCTTGTTGAAATCCAGATGAGTTTGACAACGGTTTCAGATTTAATGGCGTCCCTGAAATAGGAAGTGTCTTACTGTAACAGTCAATAGAATTCCTGTATGATAAAAACAGCCACAGGTATTATGAAATTATATGGGATTTGGTTTTCTATTTTATTATTTTTTTTGTGATGCTTTGGAAAAATTTTTCCTTTTTCTCAACAAATTTAGTTCTCGAAAACTACTTTGCCGTTTAAAAAAATGGTACCAATGGAAAAACCGTCTACTCCCCTGTGTGCTTGCATAGTCCCTCAGTATTTTTCATACCGCCATTATTACCATACCGCCATTTTACAGCCTTCGAAAAGCTCTGGGGGTGAATATTTAACCCAAATGTTGGATTTTTTTTTCGTTTTCTCAAAAATTACCCTCTCAAACCTGAGATTTTGGGTTCAATTGCTAGAATAGGTTATGGGAAGTTCCACTGCATTAGCGGCTACGCCCAAGTTTTTTGTACACAAAAAGTCGTAGCACTCGGAAAAGACATTTTGTTTATTTTTATGGCCCTCGGAAAAGTAATTTTTTTGACCGTGTAATGAAATGTTTGACTTGTCTACAAAACTACCCTCTTAAATGTGAGATTTCCAGTTCAATCAAAAGAAAGGGCTGAGAGAGGCTCTCCTGTTTGAGCGGATACGTCAAATTTTCCTGCAAAGTAATGGCCCTCAGAAGATTGAATGTTTCGATTTATTTTCCGTTTGTGAAACTTATCACTTTTTTCGAAAACTGCCGAATCTGACATAAGTGTTTAATCGAAGCACTTAAGTGTTTAAATTCCAAATTTTCAAAAAAACTTAACATCAAATAATTTTATTAGATGGCACCTGAAGCAGCAATTACGCGAGACAGCTCGAACTCAGAAACATATGAACATCTCTCTCTTAAACGGTTTGAGGAAGGGGGAGGAGGATGTTAGTTTGTTCCAACTGGCTCTAAGTAATACCATCTGTACTTTTTCGTCCATCCTGATAGCCGCAGAATTGATAGGAGCCTGATTGTCCGCCGTCTTCTGTTTCAATTTTTTATTGAAGTAAACTCATCGCCCATTTTACTATTGGTGTTATCTATGTTATTATCCCAAAATAGATTTCGCTTTATTCGTTCTAAGGGCTCTGACTAAGGGATGATTTCTTCTTGCTCAGTGCAGCCTTTTCAAGTGCAGCATTGTCGTCTTCGAAATATACAGATTCTCAAGAGCTGCATATGACTGACCAGATGATATTGCCTCAACCAGTAGTTTCTCCAATAAAACAGCTATCTGGAAATAGTTTTCAGGTAAGAGTAACTTAATTTTGTATTTAATTGACTTTAGGCTCAGCATCAGGTGCATGGAGCTGGGAATCAGTTTCTGTAGAGAAAAAATGAAGTGGTCATCTCCGCTGAACTCCCTCTATACGTTTCGCAGTAAAATCAATTGGCATTCTCACATGTCCAGTTAAATAATTAACTAGAAAAAACTGATTCCGCCGCCGCCATCATTTTCTACTGGCACATGATATTTCAATCTATCGAACTCCAAATTGTTCTCTAAAACCTCCATATCTTCTGGTCATTTCAAACGCTCGAACTGGACATAATTCAAACGTTTTATCAGCACAGTTGACATCTAAAGCGGCAGTCAGTTTGGTCGACAAATTCTGTTGTCCAGTTTTAGCTTTCAATGAACATTTCGAGTTCGACGACCTGTGAGCTTCGAGATTAATGCGGGTCCTTTTTTAAGGCTTTAGATTGATGATAACTTCTCAAATTTACTCGTCCATTTCTCTAATGTCTTGATCGTCCACTCAGAAGGGCTTTATACAAATCATTCAAAATTTTTGCAATCGATTTCAGGGTTTTACTTAACAATCTCCTTTTGATATCTACTTAAGAATCTCCACCCCTATGAATAAATACAGTAAATTAGCCCAGAGCTTTGTTTTGTGATTTCTGATTTTTCTGCATTCTGATTGTTGGAAAATTCGATCATTTTAATCTACTTAACAATCCCCCTGAGATTATTAAGTAGATCCAACTATCACGAAAAAACCAATTCGTTCCAATACTGGGTTGCATAAACACCACTGAAACGCATGAAAGTTTTTAGTATGAAAAGATACGAGCTGTTCTTCGAGGCGTTTTAAATATCCTTCCTTCTTACACAAGCAAGCTTGCGAGCGATTTTTTTGTATGACTCTACTTTTTTGCAACCCAACTCGCAAATGAAAGTGCTCATTTGGTGGCACTTTCTATAATAACCATCTGCTGTAACAGAGGAAATTTCATAGCGTCCGTTATCTGCTTTATTGGTGACTAGTCTTTAGGCAAGCGCCCGTGGCTGAGAGAGAAGGACGTGAGACACCGAATCCAGTTTCGAACCCAACAGGGTCGCAGTTTCGAACCCAACAGAACGCAAAAGTTTTTATTTGGAGGCTAATTTCTATTTTTTTTATATTTCATTTCTTTAAAGCTGCGTTTTCTCGCTCGTGTTTGCGAAGCGCAGCTTTGCCTTAAGGTCGCATTTTTTTTGTTGGCTGTAAATTTACCAACTACGATTTGGTCTCTCAATTTTTTCATTTTTTAAAAATTCTGTATAAACGGTTTTGGCTCAATTAATTGGTTAGCCGTTTCATATTGCTTCGTTCGATGTCGAAAACAGTTTTTTTGTGCGTTTGTGTTTGTTTCGAAATGTTTTACAGCTCAAAGTTTCTATAACAATTGTTTTTGACCCAAATGGTGTCTGCTCAAGTTTTGTTGGTTTAATTACCGTTGCGTAAGTTTTGTTTCAATGCTAATTCAAAACTGGACGTTGTATTAATTGGCATATTTTCCTCGAAATGAAAAATGCAAATCGAGATAAAACTATGAAAATCATGGTAATCTTTTTCGACATTTAAAAAAAAACAATTCGACTTAGCGGCTTTGGTCCCATTTTCTGCCGGCTAGCTTGCCTGTCATGTTTATATTGCATCGCAAGTGGAATGTAGCTCTACTTCGCCACTGTGTAAGAGTTCCTACTCTTACATGTTTAACTTTTGAGTTGGTTTTTACGTATTAATAACGTAGAATTTTTAAAATTTTGTACCAATGAAACAATTTGCCAAGTTTTTCTATTTGCTATGGTTAGCCATATCATGTTTTTAATGATTTTGTCTGCTCAAGTTTTTTTTTCGGTTTAGTTACCCTAGTGTAAATTTTATTTCAATGCTAATTCAAAACGACGTATTCATCGGCATGTTTTCCTCAAAATGAACATATGCAAATCGAGACAAAAGTAAGAAATTGATTGTTATCTTTTTCGAAATTTTTTCTAACAATTCGACTCAGCGGTTTTCATCTCATTTTCTCTATTAATTTTGCGATGGTTTTCACGGATAAATTACCTGGAAGTTTTCGCGTTGCAACGGTCCTTGTTGTAATCTCTGTTAGCCATATTTAATGTTTTTTTTTCATGGCATAAAAGCAAGTATCAAAATTATATTATAACTAGTAGTCAAAGTTCTTTTTGCAAAAATTCATAAGGGGAACAGAATATTAAGTAGATTTTAAAAAGCTAAATTCAGGAAAGTGTTTCGAACTAAAAATTATTTCGTTTTAGTGAAAGTGTTGATTTGTTGATAACAGCTTTACAGTGGCTGCTGTGGTGATGGAGCATTGTGCTAATTGCGAAGCAACGATCCTGGCACTCATAAGGTTTATTTGAGAAACTTTCTTTAAAAATTCGTGATACTATAAAAATTAGTCGCTGAAGGGGTCGCAGAATTGAATGGCCAGATATTATAAGACAAATTATTACAAATTGTTTTGTTTTCAGGTAAATGCTCGATGTATGCACTTCACATTTACGTCTGCTGAATGTGAGAATAGTGAAAAGAAAACTTTTTCATTGTGTTTTGGCGAAGAATGGTGGGCCTTGTTGAATCGAATTTCTAAATATGATACCCTACATCGAAATTTGAGCTAAGTCTTTGCTCATTTTCAGTTTAAGTCAATAGAACGACGCAAGATTGAAGAAAAAGTAACAGAAAACGAAACGGATAAGAAAGAGAACATGAGCCTGTCGCCAAACAACAGTCTTTCTGTGAACAGTGCGCGCGGAATCGACACTGCGAAAAAAGTGCCACTTGGACCTGGTCGATCGCTCATGGATTGGATCAGAAACGCACCTAAGCGTACTCCTAGAGCGACTGAAATCACAGAAGAGGAATTGGCCAATCACAACTCAGAGAAAGACTGTTGGCTCGCAGTCAGAGATGTAGTGTATGACGTCACAGCATACATAGCCTATCACCCTGGAGGTCGCGACCAGATCATGAGAGGCGCTGGAATAGACGCTACTGCATTATTTAACAAGTACCACCCATGGGTGAACGTAGAAAACATGCTGAAAACGTGCATCGTCGGCAAGTTATCATTTATGAAGTCATCATTTAAAATGCCATTTGCAATGAATTCTCTCACGGCAACTTCAAGTTTACCACGGGAAGCTTTTTCTAAACCTTTTTTTGACTGGATGCAGGATGACAAATTTGTTCGGTTATTCGTCACAATTAATCAGCAGGATGTTGTGATTCGCAAAGAGCACGTTACGTTGCTGCACGAGGAAGAAACAAACGAACTTCACGTTTATGTTTTCATCGAACAAAATTGTTACTCCTTGGGGTACAAGTTATCTAGTCCGGTCAAATCTATAAGCTTCGATTTGGAGAAGAACAAAAACGTCAAAATAAATCTAGAAAAGGTTGAATCAACAAGCTGGAAGAATGTCGGTAGTGCACTGAAAGACAATAAATCGTTTCATAAAACTGAACTAGTTCAGAACAGGAAATTTCCAGTGTATTTGACCGAAAAAGTCCAAATTAACCACGATTGTTATCTGTTCACATTCCAACACAGTCCAAAAAGCATTGCGAGGATTCCGATAGGCAGGCACGTACACATCTTACTGCCGAACAACCAATCATTGATAAGGCCCTACACACCGGTGCCCAAATCAGTCGCATCAAAAGCGGGTCAAGATGGTAAAGAAACAACATTTTTAGTGAAGATATACAAAGATGGAATGTTTACTCCTAGTCTAGAAAGTCTGAGTATCGGAGACAAGGTTCTCATGAGTTTGCCAGAAGGACTGTTTGACCTGAGTGTTGTGAACGACGCCGTGACAATCACTCTATTTGCAGCCGGAACTGGAATCACGCCAATGCTGGGAATCATACACTATTGCATGTTCGAACAGTTCCTAGAACTCAGAACAGTTAAGCTAATATTCTTCAACAAAACCGAGGAAGATATCGTTCTGAGAAGAGAAATGCAATCCTTAGCTCTCAAGTTCCCTCGCAACTTTAGTATCACAAATGTTCTCTCTAACCCGCCATCGACCTGGGAAGGAGAGTCCGGCAGGATATCTGATTCTTTGGTGAAGCAAGTCGCTCCAGAAATTGCAGCCGACAATGATAGTTTAGAGCGCAATGAGGTTCTGTATGGCGTATGTGGACCAAAAGCTTTCACTGACCTAGCTGTAGAGATTTTAAAGAAATTAAATGTTCCTAGTAGTAGTGTATTTCCTTTTAGAGGATAAATCTAGTCATACTTATAATAAAGTTTTTGAAACCATCTATATCTATTTATCTATATCTATCTATACTATATTTAAATGCGTGTGACACATATCTTGCCACGTTTAAGCGTTTTTTGCAACAGTTAAGGGCATAACGTATCTATGCGTTGTTAAGCTATATCGTATCTATGCGTGGTTAAGCTATATCGTATATTGCAATGCTAAAGATTTTTTTCGATTTTACAATTTGAATCTAGTGTTTGTTCCACCGAGTTAAAAGTTAGCAGCACAATTGTGGGGTGCTGTCAGAGTTCCCTCAGGGGTTGCAAACTTGGTCTTCAATAATGAATGCCCAAATCCTTTTAGTGTACGAGATACGACCATTTTTGTGATTTTATCAAAACGTTTCGGAAAACTCAATTTAGAAAACTTCAAATTCCCAACCCTGTATTTGGGTGCTGTCAGAGTACTCTCAAGGATTGTGAATCTTGCCTCCAAATATGACTGCTCAAAACCCTGAAGTTTTCGAGATCTGACGTTTTTTTTTTTGATTTTTTCAAAGAATTTTCAGAAAATTTAGTTTAATTTTTTTCTTCAAATTTTGAAATTTCCTTCCTAATAATGGCGGGGCTCCAAGAATATTCTCACGGGCTGCGAATCTTGCCTCGAAATATGACTGCTCAATTTTAAGTAATTTTTGAGAGATGACATTTTTTGCGATTTTTCAAAAATGTTCAGAAAACTTTCAATTGTTTTTTCAATTTTTGTTGGGTTTTGTCAGCGTACTCGAGGGGGTTGCGAATCTCGCCCCCACATTTGATTTCTCAAGTCTGTGTTATTTTAGAAACATGACGTTTTTTTATAATTTTTTACTCATAAATTTGAAATTCCTCATCCTGTAGTTGGGTACCGCGAGAAATTTTGCATCCAAATGCGACTGCTCAAATGCTTTTAGTGTCAAAGATGTGACGTTGTTTTAATGTCAATTTAAATTTTTTTGAAGAATTTGGATAAAAAAACTTCGGCAAAATTTGAAATTACGAACCCTGTTATTGCGAGCTGTCAGAGTACTCTCAAAGGTTGCAGATCTTTTTCTTAAGATATGCAGTTTTTTTTAAGAGTTCTCAAAAATTCGAAGTTCCGGAGGTGCGTTAAAGGCTAGTTTTATTGAAATCTATGGGCTCCTTGATACATGAACCACAACTTGAAATTGAATTAATCACTAGGCGATGTCATAACCTGGGCTTAGATAGAACACATTCTTTTTTGAGGTCATAATGAACCTTGGGGAACCTTGGCTTGAGCTATTTTTAATCCGACTTTTTCCAGGTCTTAATTGTCACATGAGTCAGTCTTATAAGTTGCTCGTTTCATAGATTTGATTGCTTAAAAATTTGACTATACTAATAGTTCAGCTCATCCACGATATTTTACTCCTCAATTGCGGAGGCATGCGCAGATTTTTTGCATCGTTGTTCAGCTTTTTGCATTGTTTTGACCAAAAACATTTTTTTTGCAATGTTTTGTTGAGTTTAATCATGTGCGTTTTTGTTCCGACCATTGCAAATGGGAGGAACTTCGTGTTCTGGTGTGTTTTAGTTTTTGTTTTCCACGCAAAGTCAGGTACCACCCACGCAAAGTCAGGTAAATTAAATTTTTAAAACGGGAAACTAGTTATGGACGCTTCATTTAGTTTTTTTGTGGCAAAAAAAGTTTTCTAAAAAAATTGACTGAGTTCATTCAAAAATTATTTTCCCTCTTCTGTTATCCATTTTTTTGTCCATTATGCCTAATTCACTAAATTTCTACGCGTTTGTTTAGTTCTCTCATCACACTACGCGCAAAAATCGACACTAATATGAAGAACAAAAAAGAAAGTTTTTTTTTGTGGTGTTTTTTTTGATGAATGTGGTTGGACCATTGTGCTACTTGCACAGCAACCGGCTATCCTTGTTTTCTTTAAATTTTGTCGGTTAAGCATATAAAATAATTCGGTTGCTTGGTCCTTTTTCCAGTTGTATATCATGCCTCAAGGTAAATCGAATTTCAAATCTAAGCCAACTGCGGCAAGTGGCAAAGGGGGAGGACATCACAGCAAGAAGAGCTCTGAGAGAGTGATGAAGAAAGGTCAGAAGAAGATAGCACCGAAGAAGCAGAAGTTGATTGAGGCCAAAAACATGCAGCAGATAGTGCAGAATGCGATCAACAAGAAAGTGGACACCGAAATCATGGCAAAAGCCAAGGATGAGAAGTTGAATGTCATCAAAGATGGAGCTCTCCATTCTAAGAAGAGCCAATCCATATCTTGACAGATCGGACTTGAATTTTTAACCATTTACTCCTTGATCAATTGAAGTGCATTATTAGAACGAATTTGTCTTTTTGTTGTCTATTTTAGATAGTCGAAAATCAAGCTCAAAAGTTAAAGCAGAAGTAAAGCAATTAGCACCAGTGTTGTATCACATTCGTTTAATTCGACTACTTGTCCTCAGAAATGTCTGCTGATTGCACTGGGAAGTTTGTTTGGTTTGGCTAGTCACTGAAATGTTTTTACTCGCACATCAGGTGAACTTTTCAAAAGCATAACAAAACGGGAGTAGAAGGTTGCTATGAAAGTAGCACGGAAAGTTCTTGCCACATTAATTAAAAAAACTAATAAAAAAAACACTTTTTTCAATTTTGTGTTATTTTGTACTTGGTGTGATGAGAGGAACAAAAGAAAGTCGATAACGTCAGTCATTTTTGACTAAAAATTTTCTTCAAAAAATGAAGAAAAAAAAACATTTAAAAAACTTAAAATTTCGCTTTTTTTACTGCCAGGGAAGCACTAAAGGAAGCTTCAAAAACTCCTTTATTACGGCTTAAATAATTTTTTTGTGCTATTTGAAAACCTATAAAAGCCGAAATAATAGCCAAACATAGCTCAAAATTAGTTTAGCTGGCAAAATCACTCCACCTATTTTTACTATTATTTGTGGTTGAAAACAAACGTAAAAAAATAAAATACTCGTATTCAAATTTCCTCTTCACTTCAGTTTGTTGCGTTGGAAACAAACTTGAAAAAAAAAACGCCTGTATACAAAGTTTCTCCCCACTTTCAGTGGTAAGAACAATGACAAGCTGAAAATGCAACCGATTTCAGTTGATTGTAATGTCACAGAGTACTGCGGAAGAGCCAGAGTATCGGGCTTACGTGTTAGGAAAGGAATCAGAGCTGCGATTCGAAGTCGAGACAAATGAGACTGTGCTTCTGCACATCACAAATGGCAAGGCGGAGATATTCGGGGCCGAACTGCTGCAGACGATAGAGTACAAGTTTGAGGCAGGCAGTAAGATAGCAGTGTTCACGTGGCACGGCTGTAAATTGAAGATAGCGGGCAAGACAGAAGGCGAGTATGTTTCGAAGGACACACCTATGGTGATGTATGTGAACACACACGCAGCCCTGGAACAGATGCGAACTGCGGCAGAGGAGAACGGATCCAGAGGCCCAAAAGTAAGATAAGAACCAACCAAATTAAAGATTAGTTATTTTGATTGTACAAATCATGGTAACTTAAACCAGTACTGTTAAATATATAGCATCAGGTATTTTGATAGAATTCTAAAACTTTGACGATGGTATCAAAAAGTTTTAACATATAGATTCCTATATTTTATCAAAATTTGAAATTTTCCGTTAATTATAGGCTCATTTGGTGAAAAAAAAATTATAAACGCTTAAACCCGTTCCTAGTGTTAATTATTTGAATGGTAAACTGTCACCTTGTATTGGTTTCAGTCGATGATTTGTGGCCCTACAGACAGTGGAAAGACAACTCTATGTCGCATACTGTTAAACTATGCTCTGCGAGTAGGGCAGAGACCAACTTTTGTTGATCTGGACGTGGGGCAAGGTACCATTTCTATTCCCGGAACCCTTGGTGCTGTTGTGCCTGAAAAACCACTGGATCCGGTGGGTGCTTTTATAAACGAGAACCCAGTTGTTTACCATTATGGTCACGTGACACCAGAGGCAAACTCCAGGTACTATGAGCATAACATCAGTCTCCTTGCAACTGTGTACCATCTGCGCTGCTCCAAGAGCAAAAGGGCGGACGTTGGGGGACTGTTCATCAATACTTGTGGGTTTGTCAAGGGAGTCGGATATAGCTCAATCCTCCACGCAGCCAAAGAATTCGAAGTAAATAGTAATTTTATAACATTTCTAAGAATTTTGGTTACATCAAAAGCTTGGAAAAAGTGCCCCAATATTAGCTTTTTTGGTCTGTTTCTTTTAAAATAAAAACTGGCCTGCGACGCAGAAAGATTGGTCATAATAGGGTCTTTATGGTGTTTTAGGAGAGCTCTGAAAAATGAAATGGTTTACCTAAAAAAGATCAATTTTTTTTGAAAATCCACCTCCCCCTAACACCCTCTCGAGAAAATCTTAGATCCGCCACTGGTTTTATCATGATAGTGTTGATCATAAAAGAGTTTGTAGCAGTTAGAAGTAAGTGTTTTCTCAAGGTGGACGTCGTAATAGTGCTGGAACAAGAGCGTCTCTACAACGAATTGAAGAAGTCTTTGCCCGCTAAAACTAAAGTGGTACTTCTTCCCAAGTCAGGAGGAGTGGTAGAGCGGAGCAGTGGCTTCAGGAAAGAAAGTCGCGACAAACGAATTCACGAATACTTTTTCGGCAGTGGTTCTCAAAATACTCTAAACCCTCACAGGTACATGTAGTACAAGGACTAGGACAGTCAATCAAAAAACTCCTCTTAAATTTAGATCGTCCGCTATGTTCATTGTGTATAGTGATGACACCTTTTTTCAGCCCAATCTTTGAAAAAAAAAACGGATTTTTTAAAAGGGAGAACACTAAATGGTTGGAATCATCCCGTAGTTGAAAAAAAGAATGCCGAAAAAATTAGTAATAATTGCTACTTGAAGCAATGAATAATAATTTGGTTGGTCGTCCTAGTGAAGATCTGTTGTGTCTAAAGTGAAATTATCTTTAAGGTATCTATCTATCTGTTTGCAGGATGGAAGTGAGTTTCGACGAGGTGGAGGTGTTCAAGGTGGGAGCTCCTGTCCTGTCTAATTCCTGTCTCCCATTCGACGCAGAGCCAGAGGACTACGAGAAGAAGCTAGTGCCAGTGGAGGTCGGCCCAGAACTAGTGAACAAACTACTGTCTGTAAACCACGCTGAGTGTGAAATGGACATCATAGAAACCAATCTAGCGGGCTTCGTGGTCGTGCAGGAAGTGAATATGGAAAAACAGACCCTGTCCCTTCTCAGCCCCAAACCCTACCCTCTACCCAACAGTTATCTCTTGGTCGGAGATTTAGCTTTCATGGTGCAACAATAAACTCAAAAACTATTTTTTTTCTTTACTTGTTTTGTTTCATTTGATGTCGATTGCGTTTAATTTAGATTCCAACTACTGCGTTTTATAATTACAGAAGCATTTTTCCTCAGATCTGTTATTGATTTTTCAACTATAATTTCAGTACATCAAGGGGCGAATTTGGGACGTTGATGACTGACTTACTTAGCTAAACAAAAGACGGTGCATAATGCAAAAGTTGAGGGTCAAATGTTATTCAGAAATAACTTAAATTCCCGGATCTACTTTACAAACCCCCCTTTAAGTAGATGAAATCAACTATCTAAATTAAGTAGATTAAAGTAGATTAAATCGTATTTTTGACAACTCAGAATGCAGAAAAGTTCGAAATTTAAATAGAACGCTTTAGTGGTAATTTACTGCTTTTATTTATAGGGGCGGAAATTCTTTCGCAGATACCATAGGGGGGACTAAGTAGATCCGAATTGCCTAAACTATCGGAACATTCTGTTTTTTTTTTCAGTTTCTCATCAGTTAGCTGGTTCAAGTGTCCCTTTAATTGTTCCGACTATTGAAAATGTGGAAGCACTTTGTACTCGGGTGTGTTTTAGTTTTTTTTCTTTTTGTTTCCCACGAAAAATCAGGTACCACAAATAATCATCGGAACAGGTCGAGTGATATATCATATTAAAGCCCTTTCAGTCCTGATATGAACGGCTTTTAAAAATTTTGAAATTTTTTTTCACAGTGTCGAGAAAAACCGGTTTGAACCAATTTTGGGAATCAAAAATTTGAAAGTTCAAAAAATTTCTGCAAAAAAATTTGACAAATGAAATGTTCTAATTTTTTTCAATTTTTTTTCGTTTTTTTTAAAATCAATTTTCTGCAAAATTTGTTTTCCAATTGACCGATTTTAGTATGACTCTCATATATGCCTAAATTCTATTTTTTCGTTCAATTCTAATTTTGTCGTTTATCACAACATGCTGAAAAAACGACACAAATTTGAAAAATAAACTTGCACAGTAACCAGCTATCATTGTTTATCTTGTGTATTTTGCTACTTCGACACTGTATCAGATTAGTAAAGCAAAATCAAAGCTCACACAGTCTAGTTTTAATGGCACTGAATGGGGTCAAAGCCGACCCATTTTCATAAAGGACTCATCGGATCAAAACATGCATGCAGCGACTCTAAACACTCATAGCCGATGTGTGTCAACCTGTGTCAACCAGTCGATGGATTGATTCCACACAACCGCGGGACGGGGTTCAAATCATAGGCATACACTCGCGTGGTAGCCAAATGAACATTTTGAGCTACTTGCACAGCAATCGGATTTTCTGTTCAAATCCACGTTTTTTGTTATACGGCACAAAATAAAAAAATCCTAATCGGGCTGTTTCTAATTGAAATACAGTTTTTCTACGGGATTTCATTTCGACTAATGAGTTTTGCGCATTATTGATCTAATTGTTAAACACAGAGGCGAAGCTTCCCTTCGCAAACACTAGCGATAGCACGACAAGAAGCAGCTCTACAAAGTGCAAAAAGAAGAAGTAGAAATAAGCCTCGAATTAGGAAAAACTTGCGAGTTAGGTTAGAAAAAAAGAAGTTTCGTACTAATAGGCTAACGCTCGCAAACACTAGTGTGATTTACAAACAGAAAAAGGACCAGTTTTGGACGGCGTAACAAGAAAGACCGAAATCAGCGAACGGTTGAACATCGGCGGATGTGAAAATAAAGACACAACTTTTCGAAATGACGTTTTACCACCGTTGTTTTTTCGAAAGGATAAAATTTTTTAGTTCAATCCCCGGTAAAATCGGTTGCTCCTTTTCTTAAAAAGTTTCTAATCGATTTTTTTGCCTTGTTGAAAATACCGTGTGTTGAGATTGGACTGTGTTTCTGCGATGAAACGTAAGTTTGATCATTTTCAGTTGGATGGTGGTTACACCGGTTTAGTCAATTTTGATAGATCAGAGCAAAACTTAGTTTTCAGAGTCATTCCACGATAGTTTCATCCATAAACGGTGCACGAAGCTTCTCACGCCCTTCTCTGTCTCGACTGTCTCTTCGTGGCTTACTGGTCTTTGGGCGCGTCCACTTTTGCCCACTAAACATGGTATCTCGTTTTTCCTCGCTCCCCTCACAGCTGTTTGGATTTTTATCATAGCCGCTTTTTTCTTCCTTTCGCTTTTCGTTTTCGACTGCGGCCGTGTTCCTTGTTGGTGATCGCTCACGTCGACTATTGTTGGTTCGAGTTGGTGCCGCCGCCGCACTTGATACTTTCCGGACACTTTGCAGCTTGCTGCTGAGATATTCGACCTGACTCAACTCACTCTGGATCCGGTTGCGTCTTACTGTATCTCCGTGACAGTTGGCCAAGTCAAATCTCAGCTGGGTTAACAAAAACAACATCTTCGTTATATTATAGTAAAACAAAAAACTTTCGAGCAAGGATACTATGGACCGGAAAAACCTTAAAACTGATATAATTTGTTGCTGTTATTTAACAACTAATTTTCGGTAGTTTCTGCTCAAAAAAAATATTTGAAAGAAGCATTTGATGGTGTATGAGGGAACGTGAAGAGTCTTGAAACTGTCGGTTTGCGTACTTTGGCCCTGGTGCTGCTGAGTGCGGCCATCCTCTGCCTCTTAGCATCCGCCTGATCCGCGCTCCTCACTCTCTCGTAGTAGGAGGACACTCTTCCCAAGTATTCCTCCCCTCGACCATGAGTCATGCACCTGTAGGCACCCTCAGATAGCATGCGATAATCCATATTACAATTATAATGCTCAGCGCAAAATCTAAGGCTCAAGTCTTTTCTCATTAAAAGCCATGAATTTTTAAACAAAACGGACAAAACTAAAAAAAATAAAATCCGATATATACGTTTCCGCGTTTTTATTCCATATGAAGATTTTAAAATGTCGAACTTTTTACAACAGTGAAAATTGTTTCCATTCACCTGCCTAAAATATCCGCTTTCCGATGTATCATTTTCGATATTGCTATATGCGCGTGGCGCGTGTTCCCTTTTTTATTTTTGGTGCGCTTCTTCGCAGCCGTCATTTACTGCGATAAAAATGCAAAAAAATGTGCTAAAAATTCAAATTCTTGAGAAAGATACATATAAATGCTAGCCTTGTCTGTATTTATGAAAGATTGTCACGTAGCAGGAATTGCTTTTAAAAGATTAATTTGAGCGCCAGCACTCAAAACTGCTTCTTCAGAATACTTTCACTATGACTTAAGCAGCCGGTTCATGGGAGGGAACTTGGATGTGAAAGTATGGCCAGAAAACAATGTGATCAAATTAGTTTTACTTCATCCTGATTAGTATCTGAGTTTGCAATTTTTGAAGCTCTCTAAATTTATTTTTTTTTGTACCATTTTAACCACAAATCTAATTGTGGTAATTACCTAAAAGTGGTACATCTTGGTGCCGATGAGGAGTTTGTGGACGAGTATGGACGATTGACGAAGCTTGCATAATACTCTTCGGTAGAGGAGTTCTTTTTCCTTCGCCCTGTGGCAGACATTGATCAATCAGGCAGTCGATTAACTAATAAGATCTTCGAACAGCAGATGTTCCCCGCCTCTAAAATCTTTAGATTTGAACCACCTCTCAGACAATTAGAAACAGCTGTGGAATACTTGAGAGTCCGATCTCCAAAAGTAACTGTTCTAGCAATGTATATGAAATTTACAGAAGCCACGGAAAAGTGGTTTTTTGTTTGCGGTTGAGTGTTTTCGTTCGTTCTGTCTTCTTAAAGGTAGAGGCTTCTAATGTTTACCGCAGTCACCATAAAAGTGATCAAAGATGTGACAGAAAGGAACCTTGGTTGCTCAATTGTCTGCCATAAATATTGCCTTACGGTCTTGCTTAAACTGAAATATAGATATGCCGTATTTTTTTATTTATGGCTCTATAAGCTCAGCTGCTTTTCTGGTCTAGGGAAGACATATTAGGCGCTGTAATTTGCGCTTCTTTTTAATAATGCTTTTTTTTTCAAAGAACGCCGCTGAACTGGATTTTTTTTTGCTTATTTCAAAGCGTTTTCGGGCTTTTAAAAACTGAAGTGATTAATTTTTTTGCTTGCGCTCAAAATTTCATTAGTTGATCTGTATTTCAATAACTATCCAACGATAATGAAGCGGTCTCTCTGAACGGTTCAGCACTTTCAAATATAACAAATCAGTTTTAGTCAAATTGTTACAAAATAGGCAATTTCAAATTTGAAAAGCCAGTTTATAAGTTTATAAAATTGTCAAGCTGCAAAAGTTGAGCACAAGTGACCTATAAACGTTTGAAACAATAAAAATTTGAAAGCTTTTATTATTACTTCAAAAAACCTTTCATTTCATAAGAGCATCAAATCATTGAAGTTTTCGAGTACCTATGATGTAACTTAAATAAATATGACTTCACCTATGACATAAATTCCAAGCAAATCCAAGGGGACGAAGCAATGAAAGAGCAGATTCAGAACATCTCAGAATTCACATGGTGAAAAAAGTTCAAGTTGCTTCTGGAGCATATTTCCCTTATTTTCTCAAAATTAGTTTGTAAAAACTCCATAAACTTTATTCAAGTCATTTTGAGTCAAAACCACTCTGTTGCAAAGTTGAATTTAACAAAAACCCTTAAATTTGCTTTGATAACAAAGTTAGAAAAATCATTACATGCTTCGGTGATTTAAAAAAAACGAATTCATTTTGTTGGTTAAATTGAATAAAAATCATTACGAGGCTGAAAATTTTGTCGGAACGATCAAAGAAAATGCAAGAACAAAAGAAGAACAAAGGGAGCAAGCTTTTTGCGGAATCCGCTTACAATTCATAATATGCAGTTTGGCCTGCTCGGTTTGGCAAAATTCAAAGTAAGGATGTTCTGCTAATTTGAAAGTTCAACAAGAATAGCCGGCTACTGTGCAAGTAGCACAGAATGTTCCGATCATAGTCTTTAAAAAACGCACATAAAGAAAAAAAGTTTTTTTTTTTTCAAATTTGTGTCGTTTTTTCTGACCGGTGTGACAATACGACTTAAACAAAAGACTAAAAAAGAGGCACGCCCGACATTCATAGTAGAATATGCAAACCAGGCAAAAATTTTTGAAGAAAAATTACTCAGAAAAAAAAACAAAAAATCACAAATTTCAATTTAATTTGCAAAATTTTTTGAAATTTTTTTGAAGTTTTGATTCCCAAAATAGCCTTAAAACTCCAAAAACTAGTTGCACTAGATTAAAACATTTGTAAGTTAGATATAGTAGAATATTTTAAATATGTTGACGGCTTAACTTAAGCATAAACAAGCATACTCGCTCGCCTTACTTGCTCAAAATTAGACAAAAAAGTCGAAAAATTCAAACCGGTTTGTCTCAACCAACACTACACTGAGGATTTTTCAAATATTCAAATGACAACTGAAAAGGTTTTTGTATGATGTGTGATTCAACCCATTCCGATGATTATTTACGATATCTAATTTTTTTGGAAAAAAAACGAAAACTAAAACACACCAGAACACAAAAATCCTCCCAATTTTCGACAGTCAGACAAAAAACTTGCTTAATACAGTGCTGATTTCAATCAAACAGACAAAATAACAACATTGGAAGTTTCCATTCTGTTTTTTTTTCAATTTGGGTTAGTATTATAGAAACATAGCCAATCGAAGATTGGAAAAGAGTAATGAACGCAAGTAAACATTAAAAAAAAACGTTCTTGAAAAATATCAACTTTTGAATTTTAAAGAAAAAATAGATGCCCTTTAAGCTTTTTGAATTTATAGAACAAGTTATGATTGGCGCTTTTTTGATAACATGAACTCAGCTTGAGAAAACTGGAGCAATAAGTTGGTTCTCAGCCTAGTGCAAAATCAATTGCACCAAATATATCATTCAGACCTTTACAAGAAGTCTGAAGCACCAGGATTTAACTCTTAAAAGGGTGGTAATTTGCCTAACCACCCACCTTACGAGTCCAGACCATCTTTCGGGCATAGTGCACTGTAAATGACATCATTTAGCACAGGGCATAACATGCCTTTTGGTTCACCCTCGTGCGGCAACTTCAGAAAAGCCCATAGGCATTGGGATATTGCCATGAGCTTTTTAAACGGTCGGTCTAACTGTAGAACACAGTCAGTCCACTCTGGTCTGTTCAAACATAAGCAGGGTTGCTTCAGACATACCCAGATATAATTACCTGGGCATGAATGCCAGTGGCTTCCAAGACCGATCTGGCAGCTGGTCAACGACCGCAGCGTCATGCAAGAATGTCAACATACCACCCGAAGGATCGAACTGTTAATCTTCAAGTACTATTGGCTGCCACTCCTTATTACCATTTCTGGTACGCCGGGTTGTGACCGGTGTCTAGCTAGGTTTGAAGAGGAGTAATAGGTAAAGTTTTTATTCAGCTGGGAAATCTTAAAAATAAATTCCACCTTCAAAACTAGCGATTGTTCACGTTTTTTGCGCCATTTCCACGTTAGTTTTTGGAGAGTGGTATTTACGTCACTTTCAGCAGATGAATTTCAATTGAACTGAAAAAGTGCATTATACCTAAGTACATCGATATTTTAAGACTTTTTCCTGAAAAAAAAACGAACAAAAAAAATATGCAAGACCTATATAGGAGTCTTCACTACGTTCATTTCTCTTAAAAAGTGAAGAAAACTAAAGTTGCTCTGAAATTCACCAGAATTTGGAACAAAAATTTTACCCCAATATGTCAATTTGGCTTTTTTTAGTTTTATCAAGAATTACGCTAGAACTACTTTGTTAATTGATGACAAAGTTATATCGAAAGAAGCCTCTTACACAGCCCAACAACGTTCGAGAAAGGTAAAATTTCCAAAAAGATGGGCAAAACTTGGGCTTGACTTTTGAATTGAGTTTTTGAGTTTTAAACAGTAAAATTGATGTATTTTGACTAGCAAGCAAAAAATTTTTTCATTCAGATTTTTGAAAATTTTACACTTGTAGAATTTTGTTGGACTGTGGAAGAGGCTTCATTTAATAAAACTGCGTCATCGATTAATTTTCATAGATTCTTGATGAAATAAAATAAGCCCAACTTACCCATTTTTGGGTCAAATTTTTGGTTCCGATTTCTGCAGAAAATGCACCTCGACAATTCTTGTCATATTCTTATCAATTTTTGTTCTGTTCATTTTTGTCTAACCCCAATCCAATTTGAGAAAAACGCGTTTGAATTTTCTAATGTTGTTCGCTTTATCCGGTTAATTTAAATCAGACCTGTATACAGGAAGAAAAAATTGGAAAAAAAAAACAAAAAAAACTCGCGATGTCCTCGAGTGAGTGCAGCGTACAAGCTTTATTCATCACCGCAGAATTAAAAAAAGCCAGACTCTATGCAGTGGAAATATGTCAGGTTTTCGCTTATTCATGTAATGATCTACGGTTTTCTCTGAAAAATGAGGCAATTACACGGGAATTGAATGAATCCAAACTTAGATGATCAATCACTTCTTAGAACCGAAGTTTACTTGAACTCGTACCGCACCCCATCTGGAAAACGAAGTACGATTTCTGTAATTTTTCTCTCTCAAAAAAACATATCATTAGTGTAGGGTTAGCATTACGCAGTGCACCTTTTAAACTTTCATATGCTGACAGAAGGACATTCAAAGCCTTCAACCGACTAGATTCAATCTCACCATAACAATTTTTGACCGTTTTCATTGAAAATTTGGAACAACACTATTATTTTCGACTGATTTATAATTAAAAGGGCTCATCTATAATCATCACAAGATTTCAACACCGATACCATTCTCAAGACTCTTGCTTGCTTGCTTTACTCTCCAAACTAGTCAACGAAATCAAATGCGCAAAAATTCATCCAATCATATGGACTCAATGTGTTTCTAGCCCTCATCGTGTCTAGTGACTCATTTCGATGACCAGAATGAACTTTTTTTGCATGAACGTTCGAGACAGAACTCTAATTTTTTCCTTCACTCGCTAACACATGCGGCTCAAAACTTAATTTTGCACACAGAGGCGTAGCGGAGTTTGCACTACTTACGATACAACATAAAAAAATAGCAGTGCAAGCAGCCAGACAGAAAAAGAAAGCCACTAAGTCAAAAAAAATTGAAAATTGTAGGAAAAATTGAAAAACTGACACTCGAAAAATTTATGATATTTTTCTTAAAGTTGGGTTGTTTTTTGTTCACGCATTTTTTCGCAATACATTCAGTTTTAATTTTTGCAGCGCTGATTTGGAATGGCCGGATAAAACAAAAAAAAACTAAAACTTTCGTTTGTTGCCCGAAATTAGGCTGAAAATTAAAAATTTTAAACCGGTTTGTCTCGCCGAGGAAACGTTTTGAATTTTTTTAAACGTCAATCGAATAAAGACTGAAAAGGTTTCAAAACGTTAGTTCACTTAACCTATTCTGATGATTAATGGCGATACTTGATTTCGCGTTGAAAAAGCAGAAAAAAATCAAACACTCAAAGACAAAATTGCTCTCCCTTTTTTATTAGCTGGAACAAAAACAACAAGATCCCAAATCAAGCAAAACTGAAGTTTACATGAACTTGGAAGACGTAAACACGCAATTAGTTTCGACCAGTATCAAAAAGCTATCTTTAATTTTCAAAACTGCTGATAATGAACTTTGCACAATTGCTATGAAGGAAGTAATAATAAAACGAAGGCCTACAATATCTTTGATTAATTTTGACAAGGAACTTGACGCTTTGTTAGGAATTGGATTTTATGTTGTCTGAAGTAATAACATATTTTATCACTGAG